AGTGTTGGTGTCCCAGTCTTTTGACTACTCTTACTAGTAACTATATACTATGTTTTCCAACAGTATGTCTCATTACTTCTCAAGCTCTCTTCTTCCAAAATACTCTCTCTTGCATAATACCAAAGAGACAGAGAAAAGAAAGAATATGCAGCAAGATCAGAACATACCTGTAGGGTAGACCACAGCTGTCCATCAGCAGTGGCAGTTGATTATTTTAATCCACAAGAAATTAAATACTGATGTCAATTTCCCATAAAAAGTAGTAGCTAACTAGGGAGCAGCACTAGTTGACTGTTGAAGAAGCCATGCCCATCTTGCTCTGCTTACCTGGTGTAGGTCTTTAATAACAGCGTAAGTAAAACGCAAAGATGTACTAGAGAACCCGTGCACTCAGCCAGTGCCGCAGTGTGCATTTGGTTAGCTATGCAGCACGGATCTCTGAAAGCAATCACAGAGTATATAAAGAATTATCAGCCCTTATCCTTTTAGAGTACAGCTGATAACCCCAAAATTACTTGGTGATAACTTACACAGCACAGGTTTGCTAACACAGCCCCTCTGGCTGCAGGTGAATTACACAACCTAGAAATAATTGCTATTTTCCCAATCATATCTCAGCTATACTTCAGGGCGAGATCCGTTTGTGCAATATTCTGGCACCCTGATTTTCATCCTGAAGAAACCTGCATGCCTGTAGCAGTACCTGCAGTGTGTGCCCAGCGGATACTGCCTCCGAGAACCACCAGTTAGAAATCTTTCCTTCCACACACACTTGTTTATTTCTGTTTCCACTTCTTATCTCTGCCCTGCAACACTCTGTTCATCATCCTGGCCATTTTCTGTTTAGCCCTACTCTGAGTTCAGGCAGTTTAAGCAGTGTAGTGAGGGCTGCAGCAGGCCAGTTTGTTTTACAAAGATGTTAAAACAGTTTTTCTAGGTACTCAAAAACATCCGACTTGCCCAAAGCTGTTTCCAGCTACATAAAGGAACAGGAGAAATGAAGGTGGGGGACAACAGTGGTGCAACTTGCTGCTCAATGGGCTTCTATTTTTTTGCAGGTCATTTCTCTATGGTGGTGTAACATGCAGAAAAACAGCAGCTTTCAGTGCCCTCCTCTTCATAGGATGGGGTGTACTTACTATAGGTGGGGATATATCACGACAGAGGCGCTGGTTTGTTTTCAGCCTGATGAAAAATGATCTGAAACACTTCTTGGCTTTGAGCAGGTGCCAAAGGCAGTGGGTCCCCTGCCCTTCTCCAGGTGCTCCCAAAGGAGAGCTCAGTCAGCAGGAAGAAGGAAGGACCTGCTCTAGGGTGATGTGTCCCTGCCCATAGCAGAGGGTTAGAACTAGATATCTTTAAGGTCTCTTTCAACCCAAACCATTTCATAATTCTATAACAACTAGTTTAATTGCATATGGTTAACATGAGCCAGCAGTGTGTGCTTGCAGCCCAGAAAGCCAACTGCATCCTGGGCTGCATCAAAAGGAGCGTGACCAGCAGGTCGAAGGAGGTGATCCTGCCCCTCTACTCTGCTCTCATGAGACCTTGCTTGTAGTATTGTGTGCAGTTCTGGTGTCCTCAACATAGAAAGGGCATGGAACTGTTGGCACATGTCCAGAGGAGGGCCACGAGGATGATCAGGGGACTGGAGCACCTCCCATATGAAGATAGGCTGAGAAAGTTGGGGCTGTTCAGCCTGGAGAAGAGAAGGCTGCGTGGAGACCTCGTAGCAGCCTTCCAGTATCTGAAGGGGGCCTATAAGGATGCTGGGGTGGACTCTTCAATAGGGACTGCAGTGATAGGACAAAGAGTAATGGGTTCAAATTTAAACAGGTGAAGTTTAGATTGGATATAAGGAAGAAGTTCTTAACTGTAAGGATGGTGAGGCACTGGAATGGATTGCCCAAAGAAGAGGTAAATGCTCCATCCCTGGCAGAGTCCAAGGCCAGGTTGGACACAGCCTTGGGTGACATGGTCTAATGTGGGGAGTCTCTGCCCATGGCAGGGGGGGTTGGAACTAGATGATCTTAAGATCCTTTCCAACCCTAACTATTCTATGATTTTCTTGCACCCCTATGCCAATAAGCCTCTAATCCCTTCCTTGTGCAACTTAGTACTAGCTCCCCAGTCACAGTGAGCTTAAATTATAGCTACCACATTAAAAACACAAAGGAAATTCTCTCAGCAGCACTAAATCAGCCACATGGTTCTGGGTTTTCCAGTCCCTACTGGTTTAAGGTAGATTGATAAAGCTGTGAGCACACTGTTGAAAGGAGAGGGTGTACGCAAGACAGATACTCTCCCACTCACTCTCTGCAGTATATTTTTTTTTGAGGGCAGATGAGGTTCTACTCAGGTCTGAGAGGCAGCATGCAACTTTCCCATGGGGAAAAGGCCTCTTCCTGAGATACTGCTGGCTGAAGAATTAAGGGGTATATTAATAGACAATTTATGTGTGTTGTGGCTTTAACTCCAGGGGAACCCCAACACTAAATCCAAAGTTACATCACAGTCTGGGAGATAGAATATGTCTACCACAAAAAAAGCAGTCTTATCTTTGTCATCTGACCTTGAGTAATAGAGACTCTTAAAACAGTATTATATAATTTAAATATAAATATCTAGCAAGTATACAGTTTATGTTTATAATATATAACTAAAAATAAAGAATATGGTATTTATGGATCTCATGCAAGGTGCACTCATCAGGTCTAGAGACAGCTCTCACTGCCCAGGCTTCACTTCTTTTAAAACACCATAGCACAAGTTGGACAAACAGACCTATGACTTGTTGAAGATTCACCTACTGAGAACTGGAATGTATGCTACAGCAAAAGCTTCCCAGCTGATGATTTGCCAATTACTGCTCAGTCTCTTCTAATCTTTCCCTGTGTATGTTTGTATAAAATCCTCTGCAGGGAATGTAAAGAGAAAACATCCCTTTGACTACCTCCCTTCCAGACAGCTACCCAGTGTCCTGATGTAGGCTATTACTGTCATCAGTATTGCTAACATAATTATCATTATTATTATTTATCCATCCACTTAGAAAGCACTATAGAATCATAAAACAGTTGGCTGGAAGGGACCCTGAAGATCATCAGGTTCTAACCTCCATTCCAGGAGCAGGGACACCTTCCACTAGACCAGGTTGCTCAAAGCCCCATCCAACCTGTCCTTGAGCACTGCCAGGGATGGGGCAGTCACAGCTTCTCTGGGCAACCACTACACCTATTTTTGAAAAGGCTGGTTCTCCTATATTCTGGATATTTCCAGTTTAAGTGCTACCTAGGCCTGACTCCCTTCAGCTTGCTTTAACAGGTTAAAATATCACAAGCACCACATCCAAGGCATGCTTTAGTAGCAAGAGGACGTTCATGGGGCATCACTACTGGTAAGTCTCAAGTGCTCTACAAGCAGTCTGCTCCCTTTACAGTGAACCAGACACAAAATGGCTGTACTGAGGTGCCCTCAGTAACAGCACCCAGGCTGCAGAGGGGGCCAGTGGTTTGCAGGAACTGGTCTCTGCCCTGGTCTTTGTCTCTGAATGCAGCAGATGGGAAGGTCACCCCCGTGACTCTTCCCAGGGCCTGATGGGCACCCAGTGGCACAAACTCTAACCTGTCAGCCTAGGCAGAAGGGCACCCCTGCTGCCAGGGCCTACAAGGGAGCTGGCTGTAAAGGTGCCTGAAGCTCCAGCACACCCACTCAACACAATGTGTGCAGTCGTTACCCTCAGTTCTCCCTGAGGTGCCACCTCCGCTGGCCCATGTGGTAACTTGCCATCCAGCATCTCAGCTTGCCTCAGCACAAGCGCTATTGCTGCTTGCACTGTTGGTAGAGGCAGGCACAGAGTGGGATGTGGTGATATAGGTGATATGTATATTCCGTATTGCTGCCCACATAGTTCAGATAACCCAAGAAAGTCACTGGCTTTTCCAGCTCTTGTACCTGGAGGCTTACAGAAATGAGGCGAATCCTCTTACCAAGCAGCACAGAACAGAGATTAGGAAAGTGAGTAAATCTGCTCACCGGGATCCTTCTGAATGGATCTGAATTAAAACTCAACAGAACTTCTTGCTATTCTGACCCATTTTCCTTCTCCCAAGTTACACTGCTGCAGTCTCTTTCACTGAACTGCCCCATGAGGTCTGACTCCCAGCTAGACAGTTTCATAAGCTTAAAGTTATGCAAAGTCCTTGCACAACTGCAACTTTAGCACGGCAACTTTCACATTTTTTTTGTGATCTTGCCACTGAATGCTCGAATTAGTAACGTGCATTTTATGCTGATTTATAAGCATTACTTGTAAACTCGGAAGGAAAAAAACCCTTTCTTTCGCCCTTCAAAAGATGTCAAATTAAAAGCAAATCAGAGACCCTTGAAAGAAAACACCGTCAGTTTAAGAGCGGCCTGAACTGATCGTCGCCGGGGTGCTCAGAGCGCAGGTGAACCGCGTGAGGCAGAGCAGCAGGACTCCCAAAGGCCCGGGCAGCGGGCTCACCCACCACCTCTGACCGGGCGGCTGCACAGCTGGACAGCGGTACGCGACCGGCGAGCTCCGCCGGCAGAGCGGAGACGGGCAGAGCCCCGGCCCGGCCTGCCCGTGGGGTCCCGCCGGCCTCCGACCCCCCCAGCCCCTGACGCAGCCGCAGCGGTCCCTCCGCCGGCTTTTTCCTTCCCGTTCAATCCCGCAGTCAGAGCCGGCGTTACCTCTGTTCCCGCGCTGCCACGGCCTGTCCCTCCTCCTACGCCGTGAGGCGGCGGTGCCCGCCCTCCGGCCCGTCCGCGCCCCTCCCACCGACTGAGCCCGCCTCGAGGAGCGGCCTCCTCCCGGGCAGGGCGGGAGTAGCGGTGTAGTGTGGTGTAGTGTGGTGCGGCCCAGGCCAGGCCTAGGGCGGCGAGCGCCGGGGCGGCCTCCCTCCCTCTCTCCCTTTGCTCCCTCCCGGCGCCCGGCGGGAGGGCGGTTGCCGGCGGGGGCCGCCCGGTTCCCGTGGCAACGCGGGGCGCGGCGGCGCAGGCGGGCGGGCGGAGGCCATGGGCAGCTGGGCCGCGGCGACATGGCGGCTTGGTGGCTGCAGAGGGCGCGGCGGCCTCCGCGGCGTACCGCGGCGGTGGGGCAGCTCCCGCCCCGGCGGTGGGGACCGGGCGGCGACCCTGAGCGACCTGCTGCAGAGCTCGGTGGGGGGCGAGGAGCCGGACGCGGCGGCGGCGGCGAGGCGGGAGCGGCGTTCCCCCCGGGAGGGCACGGTGCTGCTCTTCCCCGGGCAGGGCAGCCAGTTGGTGGGGATGGGCCGCGGGCTGCTGCAGTACCCCGGCGTGCGGGACATGTACAGCCTGGCAGAGAAGGTGTTGGGCTACGACCTGCTCTCCCTCTGCCTGGAGGGGCCGCAGGAAGAGCTGGACCGCACCCGGCACTGCCAGCCCGCCGTGTTCGTCGCCTCCCTGGCCGCCGTGGAGAAGCTCAACCACCAGCGGCCTGAAGTGAGGGAGCGATGGGGCGAAGAAGGAGGGGGGGGGTGAGGTCGGGCCCCATCGCGGGGAGGCCGGGGCCTGGTCTCGGCGGCACCCGAGTTGCAGTGGGACGCGGAGTGGGCCTGGCAGCCCCCCGCGGGAGCCGGCTGATGTGTGGCCTCGGGTCTGTCTCCGTGCAGGTGGTGGCGAAGTGCGTGGCGGCGGCGGGATACAGCGTGGGGGAGTTCGCGGCGCTGGTCTTCGCTGGAGCCATGGGTTTTGCCGAAGGTGCCCGGGGAATGTGCTGAACCCCTATAAGGGTCTCCCCTCTGCCCTGTGCTTTTCCCAAAGCATCACACTGTGTCCCTAGCGCTTTTGGTTTTTAATTAGAGGCTATATCTTACTTTCTACTTCCACTGTTCACTCTGTGTAATACAGCATTAAAAGCGTTGACGTTTCACAAGAGTAAACAGCCGCCCTTTCTTGCGCCGCAGATGGAAGGCGGTGTTGGGTTCTCGGGGCTCCTGTTTACCGAGCATCTCTCTTTCTCTCCTTAGCGCTGTACGCGGTCAAAGTGCGCGCCGAAGCCATGCAAAAGGCGTCGGAAGCCGTCCCCAGCGGAATGCTCTCGGTTATCGGTCGGCGAGAGGCAAATTACAAATTTGCCTGCTTGGAAGCCCGTAAACACTGCGAGTCGCTGGGTATAGAAAACCCCGTGTGTGAGATTTCAAACTATTTGTTTCCAGACAGCAGAGTCATTGCAGGACACTTACAGGTATTGCTTCAGAATAACTATCCCTTCAGCTGAGTTTAACATCTCTCTTTCCTTACTTAAAACTTTCACTTTGTGCATCTGCGTGGAAGTTATGTACGGCCTTAGTTTGCCCTCAGTTGTCGGGTAGGGAAAGAAATCCCTTTGCCACAATGAGGTGGTTCTTGTGGGGTGAACTGGGTAAACCTTTGTCATGCAAGACTCTCACTTCTCTCTCTCTCTTATAGGCTTTGGAGTTTTTGCAGGAGAATGCCCGAAAATATTATTTTACACGTACAAAAATGCTTCCGGTCAGTGGGGCTTTTCATACCAGACTTATGGAACCAGCGGCAGAGCCACTGGCTGAAGCCCTAAACTCGATTAAGATTGAGAAACCTCTGGTCTGTGTCTATTCCAATGTTGATGGCAAAAAGTACATGCACTCAAAGCACATTCGGAAGCTGTTAGTGAAGCAGGTGGTTTCACCTGTTATGTGGGAACAGACCATGCATGCTGTATATGAAAGACAGCAAGGAACAGAATTCCCTTACACATATGAAGTGGGGCCTGGGAAGCAACTAGGAGCTGTTCTCAAAAAGTGTAATTTAAAGGCCTGGAAACAATATAACCATGTAGATGCTCTGGAAGATGAGGAAGCGGCAAAGATCTAAGTAGCCTTTAGAGTAAAAAGTCCATGCAACTTGTTTTTTTCTACCTAAATTTTAAAAACCATAAACTTTCTGTGCTCCCGGAAGTCTTAAACATTTGTAGCTTCCTGTGATGAAAAGAGTGCATGTAATCCAGATGAACATTTTCCTTTCTTTGTGTGCCTCAGGTGTGGAAGGGGAGAGCTAAGTCTGGCTCTTCCATCTGTGTCAGGACTGCAGAACTGCCAATAAAGATGCCAGACAGTCGCCTGTTTGGCCTCAATCCTGCAAGCAGCTTTCCCCTCTCTTTTTCCTGTTTAACTGGCGGGGGGTTGGGGGGATGGTGCTGGAATGGACTCAAGTTGAATGTAGCTTTGGCTGTGTACTGTATCTTGTATCCACATGGAAACAAGGTAGAGAGAGCCAGGCTGCTGGCTCCCGGTTGCTGAGGGCTTTGCGCTGGGCTTGAGGGTGTGTTGAGCCAACTGGTTGTTACAGTTTTTGGTATATTGATGTTCCTGTTTCTTACCTCACTTGGTTTGCAGGACTCTTATCCCTGTAAAATTCTTGCCAGGCAGGAGATGTTACGAAGAACACAATTTTCTACATGCTAAGCTATAAATAAACTAGAGCTTCTCCTGGTATTTTTAATGTTGTGGGGTGAAGTGATTGTTTAGTCTGGAGAAGGCTCTGGGGAACATTATTTCTCTCTGCAACTACCTGAAAGGAGGATGGAGAGAGGAGGGCGTCATTCTCCCAAGTAACAAGTGATAGGACAAGAGGTAACGGCCTCAAGCTGCACCATTTGAGGTTTAGACTGGGTATTAAAAACAATTCCTTCACCAGGAGAGTGATCAGGTATTGTATGGGCTGTGCAGGGAGCTGGTGGAATCACTGTTCCTGGAAGCATTCAAAAACCTGTGTAGATGAGGCCCTCAGTGACATGGTTTAGTGGTGGGCTTGGCGGTGCTGGGGTAATGGTTGGACTTGATGATCTTAAAGGTCTTTTCCAATCTGTCTGATTCTATGATCACTGGCCTATAGTCCACACATAAACAGAGCTGATTTTCCCTCCAGCTGTCCAGTGTTGGTTGTGCTGAGTTACACAAGAAATGTTTTGCTGAAAGAAAACCTCCCCACCCCCCCTGCAGAAGTGCAGGGCTGCTGTCCCTGAGTGAGCTTCAGAGGCTGCGTAGGCTGAATTAGCCTTTTGGTGACTTTTTTTGACAGAAGCAGGAAACAGCAGTGCTAGGAACTTTGCAGAAAGATCTTGTTGGAGGCACCTTTGTGCAGAGTGAACCCTGTGGTGACAGAGTGCTGGGGAGGAGGGTTTGAATGCTGGTATTTCAGTTCTGTCCATATTCCTGGCTGTTTTGCCGGCTCAGATGTTTTCTGGAAGCAGGTGATGAGCTGCAGAGGAGTGGGTTCTCCAGAGCCTTCCTAGGAAGAGCTTTCCAGGTCCCTTGTGGGCACTGCCTGTCCTTGGATGGGTTGGGGCTGGTGGTGAATTTTGGAGTTGGCAGGCTCTGAGGAAGCACACACTAGCTCCAGCACCTTCTCTAGTGCCTGCAGTGCTTGAGGGGACACTTAGAATGGGATTAACACCACATTATTGGGTTTGGATTCTGTAGCCAGCTTTTGGTTTCTTAAAAGAAGTCCTGTCATTCTACAGCATGGCACTGCCTGAACAAAGACACCCATAGGGTGTGTAGAAAACATGGGCTTGCTTAGTCTGCAAGAGGCACAGGAAGCTCTAGGAAACAGGAGAGGGTGGTATTTGGTAGGGAATCATGAACAAACAAGCAAGGAAAGGTTCCGTGGTGCGTGTTGAAGTGTGCCCAGGAGCTCCAGCTGAACTCTAGCCTTTTTCCTGGTTTAGTTTTGGTATTTTGATGATATGTTTAAGAGATAGAATTCAGGATTGGTTATCATTACATGGTTATTATTACTTAAATAACCATGCACATCTTCAGTAATATATTATGAAATGCAGAATAACTTTGTTACAGTATTAACCATTTCATAATTTCACATTTCTGAAAAGCGAATTAAAAATATTGGCCTCAATTAAATTATGATCGCTTAGTAGAGTGTATTATTCAGCAGTTATTTTCGTGACCTGAAATTGGCAGCTGGGCCTACCTTTACAGTACAAATTCCACTTTTGGCATGTGTAAACATTAACGATTAGTAAAACCCAGAGGAATTTGTCGGCCTAATCGCTGGACTATCAGCGGCTGCCAGTTAACGGCTGGCATCACTGTCAACAAAATTACTTACATGAAGGCTCCCGTGTTCCATGTGAGGTGCTGACAGTTCCATAAGTGTACCAGAGTTATCACTAGTTAGATGGTTAGAATATCTCAATTAAATCCCATTCACATTGCTAAATGCTGAATTATGTGCTGTTAGAAGCTTCGGACTACGTCTTTTAAGACCAAATGCCCCATTACTTTGAAGCCAGCTTTTATGATAGTTGGAACTGAGCTTGGCATGTTGGTGGCAATTTATATCAGCTAAAAAAGTGTGATGGAGGCCTATATACTTCTGAATCGAGAGCGTTTGGGACTTGATTGCTCGTAGTGTCTGGCAGCATGCCATCACATTGGTGGTATAGCTGTAGATGAGCAAGAGGGTGTCTGCTGTGTTGTGAAACTTGCCTGTGGCTTGGTAGAGAGTAGCGGCATGTGAAGTAATGAAATATCCTGGATCTTAGTACTGTTATCTGCATTTCTTTTACGTGCTTACTCATCTATCCCTTCTGCTTCTGGAAACTGAATGTTTTAAGACATGAAAAGCCAGGGCGGTTCCCTCATCTAGAAACAAGCAGAAACAGGATGTAGGAGGAAAAAAAATCAAGTGCCGTAAACTCTGTCACATGAGGAAGTGTGCAGTAAAAAAACAAAGATAATTAAATTTGGGTCTCATGAGTCACAGCGCGGAGCCTCTTTGCTCAGCTCCACAGGTAAGAGGAGCCTCTCAGTAATGACCAGTTTGCACCGATTCTTGTTGCAGATGCTGTTTGTGTTTCACTTGCTTCATTGGTTTGATTCCATTTCTGTATTCCTTGAGACTGTGTTTTCCTCCGTACACGCTGGATGCTGAACTTCCCCTCTCTTGCAATTCAAAATGTTAAGGTTATTCATTGTGAGAGTATGAAAAAGCAGTTGCCCCACACAGCTCTCAGAGGGAATGGGCAGTGCAGCAGTCTCCTGTTTATCATTGCTCCCCTGGGCATAAAGACTATTTTTCTAGAAGTAACTGGGGTTTTTTGTAGTGTTTAAGTGACTCAGCCGGTTCAGAATCAATTTTTTGGCAGCGGGTACTTCTGTTACATGTGCACAGATTGTTTATTAGACCTGCTTGGTGGGAATTTCTACCTTTCACTAAATAACAGTAACTTTAACATAAATTCTGTCATGCTGCTGTTACGGAGTTGAACAGAGCAGTCAATCTGCTCATGAATTTTCAGGCTGGGGTTTAGTTTTACAGGCAATTCAGCAGGCCAGCTTCTGGCCCAAGAGAGACCAAGTTTCCAGTGTGCTCATCATTCTTTTCTAGGAAAAACCTGCCTGTCTGCTGCTGATGGGCAAGTCAGCCTGAGGGCATTTTGAAAAAAGGGGACTACTAGAATACGTGAGCTTCCAGGGTATACTGGAGCTATTGTTCTCTATGTACCTTCTTTGCCTAATTTGGTTTTGCTCTGCATTTCAAGTCAATCAGAGATGTTTCAGAGTCTTTTAACATGAAATGATTGAATGAAATACTCCAGTTGAGCCTTTTTAAGATTTGAGATGGGTGGTTGGGATCATAATGGGATTTGGGTACCATTCATGAAAGAAACAAGTTCCTTAATCTGGTTAAGCTTGACTGGGTTTGGCATTTGTTTCCACTGAAGAAAAGAGTGGTTCCAGTTGCTTCTCTTATGTAAAGCAGGGACTCGAACTTGAAACTCCCACCTCTCAGGTGAGTGCTGAAATCACCAGGCCATTACATATTATATTTTCCTGTTTCAAAAGTGCGCTAACTGTAGTGGTCGCTCGCCTAGGCAGGAAGCAGGTATCCCGCTACTGAGGGGAATACCCAAACCACAGAGATGCACTTTCATTTTTTCTCAAAGAGTCTGCAAGTGTGTACAGTGAAAGACAGCTTCAGCAGCGAAGAGTAGGGAAGATGCACCCAGATAGAGAGAGGAACTTTGTATGGTTGGAGCGCATTGTCGAGAGCTGGAACTCAGAGGTGTCCTGATGGCTGTCTATGGACTATGCACAGGGCGACACACCATCTCGATCCTGCAGGCTGTGCTCAGGTTTCCCTTAGGCATCTCTTTACCCCTAAGCACATGCCTTCCAAAAAGACATGTGTCACCAAGAAAATCTCTTTTTCAAATTCAGTCGAATTCTTGATTTTTTGTTTTCTGGGTAACTCAAAAGTTTTACTTTGAAAAGAGGCAGAAGAATATAAAAGCTGTTAGTAGATTTCTGACAAATTCTGTTGAAGGTAATAGCTTGGCTTGAGTGGCTCTCAAGCACTACCAACCCAACCAACTTGCTTGCTAGCTCATCCTAACCTTTCTTCTTCCAATAAACTATATGCTAGATGCTTCCAATAAACTATATGCTAATTTTACTAAGAATCAAATCAAGCCTGTCCCTTAGTCTCAGATAGCAAAATGCACAAGACAAGACGTTGTTAGTAACGTGTGATAGCACAGTCTTGGAAAATAAAGTAGGGTAACACTGTGAAACATCTGAAGCAACAATTTATTTTTTTAAAAAAGTATCATGGTTTTAATCTTTACTATTGCTTTTACAGTGTTAAAATTTAAAGGATGGCCAGCATGCCTTCAGTCCTCCTCACATCCAGAATCTCTTTAAGAAACTCATTTATAGGAAATAGACACTTTATATTGCAGTAAAACAAACTCAAAAAGACAGACTTTCTAATCGCCTGGAGTCACATTTCAAAACTAGCAAGTCAGGCAGTTATCCAGCAACAACCTCCTTATTTTACATGTTTTTCTTCTTAAAAAAGGTATGAAACAGCAGTGACCCAGCACTAGCCTAGGTTTTAAATATAAAAGAGATTTTTATCAGTGTAAATTTGAAAAACAAACCAACTGCCACCACCTGGGTGTTAATGATATTGGTCAGAGTCCAGCAATGACCTCCTATTGTAATTCTGTGTTAATTCTGCAGTCCATAATTCACGGCCCACCAAAAGGCAACAACCAGCAACGCTGCAGGCACCAGCTTCTGGCAGACGCACCTAAAAGGAAGCCTGCAAATCTG